TCAAGAAGGCTTCCCTGATGCCCTGAGGCTGCAAGCTCCTCTTCCGACTAACAGTATTCATGTATCTCATCACAAGGGAAAAAACTGTAATTCTGTGTGGTGATGGATGTTAACTTATTGTGGTGATCATTTTGCAATATATACATATTTCAGATCATTATGCTGTACCCCTTAAACTTATATAATGTTCTATGTCAATTATATCTCAATACAATTGGAGGAAAAAAGAAAGCAACACAATAAAATATGATGCTGTGGAGGGCTGAGATTTAAATAAAGCAAGCAAGCAAACAAAATAACCAATATGCCATCTATTAATCATTAGTTAGTAACTTTCTAATAAGCTTTTAAGCTCAACAGTTGAGACAGGGCCTTCTCCCCCTATGGTGTTACTTAGAGTTTACAGACAGTGCTAGCTGCACAACAGGTTTTAGGTAAAAGTCTGGGGAGGACTTAACATTGTATTGAATCTAACATTTAGACACATTAGATGAGCGTCCTGTGATCGATCATTTCACTCTGGGGTCAGAATATTTTAGAAAGAATAAGTCAGTGACTTGCATACAGGAAGTGCTAAATGAATGAATGAGTGAATGAAGGTTTCTTAAAAAAGGTAACATTTAAGTTACACTATTTATCATATCAAAAGGCTATTGGATGGGTACTACTGTTGACCCTTGAACAACACAGGTTTGAACTGAAGAGGTCCACTTATATGCAGATTTTTTTTTTCATGAAATACTACAGTACTACACCATCCGTGGTTGGTTGAATCCACTGGTTACTGAACCTTTAGATAAGGAAGGCAGACGTAAAGTTATATGCAAATTTTTGACTGCACAGAGGGTCAGCATCCCTAACCCCTGTGCTGCTGAAGGGTCAACTGTATCTGCATCTCCACTTCACAGATGAAAACTTTGAGGTTTTGAGTTGTTCACAGCCTTGCCCAAGGTCACGCTACTAGAGAAGTAGAGATAGAATTCAAACCCAGGGAGTTTGATTCCAGTAATTCTTAACACCATGCTGTGCTGCAACCCCCCACCCCAACCCCCCAGGATAACTCCAGATAAATGTGGCTTTGGGAAGCGCTTGACTGGCATTCAATGTTTTTGTCTGGTCTCTTCCTTGTCATTTTGTTTTCATGTTTTGGATATATTTAGGTTTTCTTTCCTATTTCTTTTGAGCACTGGAAGGTTAGTCTGTTCTCATAGATGTAATAGTATGTACATTTCCTTTCTCAGTTTCAGGGCTTACTAAAAAGTTAGGTGAGGCAGTTTTCTGTGATTATCGATTTTAAGGGGTGCCAGGAAGGTGTCCCTACCCACAAAATCCCCCCACTCGCTTCCTGATGTTTAAAATTCCACTAACATGGCTTCACTACTTGGATTCAAGTCATGTCCTCTGTTAAAATTCAAATACATCGGGGACAGATAAGTAAACTGTAAGCCAAGCAGCCCACCTGTCATCCTTCCACCCATCCTTTCCTTCAGTAAGTATTCTGGGGACAGACTCTAGCTGAGTAATAGCTGCTGAGATGAAGGGTAGATAAGTGGTCTCTGCCCTCAGGAAGATCTTGTTTCTGAAAGGAGACAGATGTGAGAGAAATACAATACAGTGTTTTAGGTACTGTGATGGAGGCATTTATGAGGTGTAGGGAGACCCAAAAGGGATAAATACACTGCTCTACTTGGAAAGATGAGTGTAGATATGCCTTAAGCCTGAAGTCCTTCACACTTTAGTAAGAATGATTTGTACAGACTGTTTTCCAGGAGGCATAGTTTGGTGATAGGAGAAAAAAGTTTAGAATGAGTGTTAATTCACTGGAATGTTATATATAGGCAGAGGGAACAACAATAAGAAAAAAAGTCCACAAAGAAAAACCTGGAATCAAAGTCAACACTGAGCTGATTTCAGAAATGAGAGGAGATTGGGCCCTTCTCATTTATATAAGCCTGCCCAATTGTCAGGCCATGTGTTAAAACACTACATTAAAAGAAAAAATTTTGCAAAAGGGCTACAAGGAAAAAAAAAGTTGCTGTGATTGACTGACAGCCACAGAGGCAAGCATTTCTTAACTGAACATACCAGGGTCAGCAAACCTTCTCTATAAAGTGCCACAGAGTAAATATTTTAGGCTTTGTGAGCCATATGGTCTCTGTAGTGGCTACTCAATTCTGTGGTTGCAGTGCGAAAGCAGCCACGGACAGTATTTAAATGAATAGATGTGGCTGTGTTCCAACACAACTTTATTTACAAAATCAGGTAGTGGGCCGAATTTGGGCCATAGGCTATATCGTCTGCTAGCCCCTGGTTTATACCATCTCATAGGCATATTAAAGGCCTAAGTTAAATAAGTTTAAGTATGTTTTAAATAAAGTTTAAATAAGTTTTTGAGGTGAGTCCCCCAGCTCCTCAATGGACATCAGGGCCTCGTACAGAGCCCTTTACCTTACACTATCTGACTACAAGGCCTGGGAAATAGCCACCTGCAGGAAGAAGCCCTTTGAACAAATGACTGCTGAAAAGACTGTAGTGACAGGAAGGAGAGAGAGAAAGGGAGGGAGCAAAAGACAGGCAGACAGAGGATCTTTGTGCCAAAGACGGTTAGCTGTTTACCAAAAATTCATGCTTCTGGTGAACTTTTGATTAAAAAAGTATAGATTGAGTGGTCTGCAGCTGATGCAAAATTACTTCTTTTTAGCAGTAATGCATGAATGTTTATTAAGCATATTGTTTATAGTTACTTAGCCTTTCATTTATTCATTCAATAAACATTGCCTACTACATGCCAAGTATTGTACTAAGTCCTGAAAAAAACAATACTGAATAATTCAGGGTCATTACCAGATACCAAGATGTCTAAATTACTTCCCCTCTGATTCCCTGTTGTGATTTTCTGTAACCTTCCACTATTTTGTAGTATGTGATTGTGACATGCTGAACCTCACAGAACTTTTTAAGGCCTCAAGCCCTCTGACCAAGTTTTCCCTTTGCATCTTTTAAGACTATTTCTGTTATTGCCTCACAAAGATTCTGCAGGTCAATAAAAATTACCTGCATGTCATCTTTTGTAAATGGCTTGGTGTGTCCCATCAGTTAGCCTTTATATCTGCTAACTCCATCTTACACACAAAGCTGGACAGACTTTACCTGCTCTAGGAAGTATTCCTTGATCAAAGACTCTCATATATATATATCTCCATCCATGATGCTTTCTCTAGTCAACTATCCACTCAAAATATCCACTCAGATGTTCCATAGGTCCTCAAATTCAACATGTTCAAACTTACACCACACTTACCCATATCCTTCTCCCTTCCAAGGTTACCTAGATCAGAGAATGGAACCATTTGCCACCTAACAGTGGAAGCCATAAGCTCGGAAGTCCTCCTTGACAACGTCCTTCCCCTCTCCCCCGATGGTCTACTATTCACAAAGTCTAGGTGATGGTATCTCCTGAACCGAGATACTTCCTTCTAACTCCACTGCCTTCATCAGAGCCTAACCTACCAACCTCTCATACCTGAACATTCTAATTGTTCTGCTGGAATCCACTCTCATCTAACTCTCATGTCTACCCTGTATCTATATGATCATATCAATCCATTCAGTGGTTTCACACTGTTCTTAGGGTAAAGAACAAAATTCCTAAACACCCTATTAGACTCTGCATGATTGACACTAAACAACATCATCTTTTTCTGACACTACTCTCTTTTTCACTTTCTCTGACACATCTGAATTAGGTGTCATTTTAGAGCTTTATTCTGGTTCACACCTGTGGAAGATTTCCATTAAAGGACCCTTTCTTCACCAACCCTTGCATCCAAACACTTTGCCATATAATACTTAAATGTTCTCCCACTGCTGGTGACACATAATTTTTTGCCCTTGAGTTCAGCCACGTGACTTGCTTTGGCCTGTAGAATTAGACAAGGTACAGAGCCCAGGGTCCAAGAGGCCTTGCATGTTTCCATTTATCCTCTTGAACCTCTCCCCTCACCACAAGAACATGCCCCGTGTAGAAATTTGGTTCCATGAAAAGGATGAGGGACATGTGGAGTGAACTACCTAGCTGAGCACAGCCTAGATCAACTGATCCTCAATGGACACACAGATTTATAAGAAACAATACCTGGTTGTTCTTTTAAGCCACTGAGGTTTGGGGTGGTTTGTTATGTAGCAATAGCTAGCCGATATACTAACACAATACTTTGTATTTGCCTATGGCTTTGTAAATATCCTCTACCTTAGCTGACATTTAGGTCAACTAGGGTTAAAAGTAAACAAAGACTGCATAGATGGATCTCATCCTTCCTACTACGAACAGCAAACTTGCTTGAGGATTTGAGGTCCAGTAATAAAACAACAGCTAATTTCCTGAGGATTCCTCCATGACTTTCCAAATGAACTGAGGGCTTTCCCACCAATCCTACAAATTGGGTGGATGTAATTGGGCTTGAATCTTTCCCTTACTGCCACAGAAGCTCTTCATCCCTGAAAGAAATGGAAAATCCACTGCCACAGCTGGGGGACCAAGCTGAAAGTTCAGAGCTGGTTTCTGAAGTGACACAATCTACCTGCATTCTAGGTAAAAGCACCGTCTGTCGTAACAGGCATTTTAAAGGTCATCCTAGATTTAAACAGCACATCTTGTTCCTTTTATCCTTGTCCTCTGAATTTCTCTTTGAAAAGTTGTTGAATGTTTCTGGCCTTTACATTTTCTCTTCCTGACAAAACCTATTACTGGTGGATGTTAATTAAGCCACAGGACCAAGTCATTGACAATTCAAAATGAAAACCATGCTCACCTGTGGCTGTTATACCCTGCCCCAAAAGCCACAGCAAAAGGCTGGGCGCTTAAAGGAGACTCTTGAAATTAAGACTCTCTCACCCATAATATGAAGAGTGACTTGAGGGATGTAAAACAAACTGCCCTGATTAATACACCATCAGGTTTGCTATGTCAGAACAGAAGTAAAAGACGTAAAAGTAAACAGTCAACAGACTTCATAGCACTAGAGAAAATAAAGACACACATACCTGGACTGATGCAATTCTTCTCTCTGAAATAAATTTTAAAAATGCATGTTTTAGTCGTGCTCAAACCCACCCAAAATTCCAAAGCAGACATCTTGAAGGGAGAGGCCATTAACTTTCCTAGCTAAAATGTTTTGGAATTTTTCTTTTCAGGGGGAGAACGTTAGAACATTAGAAATTTAAGTAGTTTGCTCCTTCTGCCCTTTTAAACCAGCCACGCTAGGTGGTCTTCACATAGCGTGGATATGCAAGAGGGCCACCTTTACTATCTAACGACTGACAGACAATCTCTAGCCTGGGTTCCTTCTTAAAGTGCCTTCAAGTATATTGAAGAAGAAAGTGAGCTCGACCTCCACGCTCCTTCCTCAAACTGCTGCACCCCTTTTACTTGACAGCCAACTGTCCTAAACACTGTGCGTCCCCCCAGCCGTCTCCCAACACAGCACCCCACCCCGCGACCGGGTAATATGGCAACCTCGAGACCTACTATGCTTTGCATCCACCAAATGAGAGGCAGGAGGCTTAGAACTGTGTTACCTGAGGCCTGGGGAGCTGTGGGGCGCGGCTGGGTGCTGGCTGGCCTCCACTCCGTGGAAGGGAGGCCTGAGGAAGCGACCCCTCGTTGAGGGGCTGAGGCACGGGAAGGGCAAGCTCATCACTGGGCGCCATTTGGAGCTCAAACGAGTCGGCTGCGTTGAGTGCCCTTTCGGGGTCCGGAGGCAATCTTGAGTGGAGTCTCAGGGGCCACAGGGAGTGCGAAGACTCCTCCGGGCTTCCAAATAGTCCGCTGGAAAAGCAATGCGAGGAGCCGGAAGTCTCCCTGCAGCTGCCCCCAGGCGGGCCCTTTAAAGGCCGCCGGTTGAGGCGGCACATGCGCAGTGCGGTGCGCAGCCCGCGCACACTCTCGCAGCTGCAGCCCCTTAACCTCCTCAGTGTGGGGGAGGTGGAGACGCGGCCCGGGGCTTGCCGGTCAAAGTGGAGAAGTTTCCCCTGGTTCTGACAGTGCTTCTTGGACAGGCTTTCCAGGGGGGGTCGAGGAGAGGGCCCGCAGTCTGGGCGCTGCACCTCTGGGAAGGATGGCTCCGTCTTCTCCACGCCACTAAGAGGCCCGGTTGCTGGAAGCTTCCAGGGGACGCCGTCAGAGTTGCTGTTCTCCCGACCACACTGAGGTTGTTCCAGTTCCGCCTTCAGGTGCCTCTCTTCCTCGGGTGTGTCTTCGTCCTTTTCCAGAGGATAACTGCAAGCAGGTGGCTGCATCTTTAATGAGGAAGAGCAGAGTGCGGAATCTGTTGCAAACAAGGAGACGGAGGTGAGAAAAAAGGTGTCTGAAATTTCACATAAAAACTTATAATTCACCAGAGCAGATAGGGAATGCCCAGTTAACATTAGTATCTGTTATGTTTTGTAGATAATTAACATAAGTGAGTCCAGTTCCCCCCCCCACTAAATTGTTTACATATTGAAATTTGTTTATGTTACCGAATTAAGTCGTTTGGACCTTGCTTTGTGCCTCGATGGGGGAGAGTTCTTTTTTCCATTGGGGTTCGAGTAGGTGAATACGAACCCCATGCAGAGATGGACACAGTGCAAGCTTTACTTAGTGGCCAAAGAATGGAGAAGCGAGAACCGCGTTTGCAGACCAACCTCTCGCCCACGTGGCGAGAGTGATTTAAAGAGTAAAGACAAGGGAGGAGGAGTGAGGCTAATTTATGGGGAGGCTTATGCGTTAGTCTACCAGGCAGGGGCAGGGCTTTGTCCGAGGGAGTGGGGTGCCACCCCCTTTTTATCCTTTTTTTGTCCTTAATGTCTGGTCCTGGCTACCGGTAGGTGTGTCACATAATATGTTAATATAGTAAAATCAATGTATAATGAGACTTAGGATCTGTTGGGCGTCAGATTCATGCCATCTTAGTCCCAGTTGGTTTCATCTGTTTTCTTTGTTCGTAGCTTTCTTATCTCTGGACCCTTTAACTTAAAGATTTGTGTTCACTCCTGCTAAAGGTGGGGTGGGGGGCATTTGGCAGGTTTTGAGCAAGGACACTTCTGCTAACTGTGGAGGTTGATGGGTTCTGATTAAAGACCTGGAACAGCTCTGGCAACATTTACCGGTTACTTAATATCCCTTCCAGTTCAAACAAAAAAGCTTTTAAAAACCTTGGTGATCTAAGAGATGTCTTGGAAGCCACAAAGCTCATCACCTTTTGATTATTCCATTTTAAGAGAATCAAATATACATTCAATCTCCCTTACATTCTGCATTTACATATGTATGAATATGTGTATATGTGCTTTCGAGTATTCCAGGGATATAAGGATGAGAGAACAAGAAAAATGAGAACCCCTTCCCTCAAGGTTTAAATTACAGAATGAGACATAATTTCAAAGATAGTGATGCAAAGTATTTGGCAAGAGGCATTTTAGATTTTCTCCGTCCCCGTGTTCTGGAAAAATAACTCACCAGTTTGAAAAGAAAAACTGCGATGTCACACAGATGCCCTGCTTCTTGTGATTAGAGGTGCTTTCTATGATTCACTAATGCAGAATTACCTCGCAATTAAGCTCTTCTCATGTTCAAGCAAATCTGATTCTCCCATGGTGTAAATATGTTCATGGTGACATGGAAATGACTTACTGCTATTCCGTTATTTTGTAGTTTTCCATTTGAAGAAAGTAGTTGCCTGTGAGAAAGCATCAGTCCTTACCCATCCTATCAACTATTGCATAAGAGGCAACTCCTGATTATTTACAGGTCTGGTGTGGGACTGTGGAGCAAATACTAACCGTTTTGCCTTGCCATGGGCAACGTAGGAGGTGGTTTCAGGCTGCACATGGCTTGTTGGTGGATGGAACATCAGTAGTTGACCACATATTCTGAGATCTCCAGTAATAACTGCAGCAAGTCTATAATTCTTTTTTTTTTGGCCATGCTGTGCAGCTTGCGGGATCTCAGTTCCCCGACCAGGGTTTGAACCCAGGTCACAACAGTGAAAGCCCAGAGTCCTAACCACTAGACCACCAGGGAACTCCCAGCAAGTCTATAATTCTAAAGCAATCTGTAACCCTTCAGGAATGGACACATTTGGATTCCCCAATTTTAAGGATAGCTAATAATTTACTCTTTTAGTGCTGTATAATTTTAATTTCACTGACACTTTTGAGAACTTTTTCTACTGTGTATCATTTACATCCTCAATTTGATAATAGAGAATACTGACCACCGGAAAATTCCTGATGACCTGTCCTCCTATGTTGTGACTCATGAGACTAGATGACATACAGTATTATGGCTATTTATTGTAGTTCCATGCAGACTAATTGTTATAGGTTTTTAATAGCATATGATTATTTACCCCATACGAAATAGCCTCACACTGATGTACTCCCTAGTTTTTAGTCATTACTTCTCCTGATAGTTTTGTACTTGCCTATGGCAGATACTTTATTTCCTTTAATTTGTTTCTTCTAATCTGTTTCAGGGGTAGAAGTCCAATAACCCTGTGTCAAGAGAATTAATAGACTCTTAGATTTATTCTTATCAGTAAAGGGGAAGAGCCCAACATCATGATATTGTCATGACAATTCTGTGAGATTGATTTGAGGGACTCTGTGTTCTCTTATGTTTATACCCTGGCTCTCATCTGCTTTAAAGCCAAGTGAAACTACAAGGTACTGGATTTTAGATTGGAGAGTTGTTTAAGGAACTACTTAGATACCAACTAAAGTCAGTTCGACTCTTACTACAAAAGAAATCTGAAATTCTTAATGCTGGGTTTGCTTTAATATTTTGAGCCGAGGACTCAAATGTTACAGGACTTCACATATAGAACAAAAATGTATGAGGTACCCTTATTTTGGGGGTCAGGAGAGACAGTAATACCTACTAGGAAACTTACATTTTAGTTAAGGTGAGGTTGAACTGGTTTTGATTTTAGATTGGTAATTTCTGGCTGACACCAGCTTCATAGGAGAAGAATGAAAAGACCCATTTTGACCACTGATGAAAACAGGTGTATTAGGTCTCTTTTCAGGTCCTTTACTGGAGGGCCAGTTCCTCATTCTCCCAACAAACAAATGCCTGAGCTGAGGACTGGAGTTACAGGTACTTCCAACACACATACACACCCAGGGGACTTTATTCCATTCCCCTTCATAGCATTGTCCAAGTTCTAGGCAGCAGCATGGTTAAAGGAGTTCAGTATGTTTACACAGGCACTTGTATAATAGTTGTATCAGAATTCTTAGTCCTCGGGTTTCCCCTCTGTTTTTGTGCCTTCTTTCTCCTCCTTAGAGGGGTTAGGACACTGCTTCAGATTTCCTTTCTAGTTGTCCTGACATAGGGTGTGGCAGTCTGTAGGTATACCCAATGGGACTCAAGGGTCATTAAGTATTGTTTACTGGCCAGTGTCTCATATATTGGAACCGAGGCAGTAGTAACTGCTGACATGACCCACGGCAGAACTGGAGAAACTTTAACTACAGCGGAGCTCTGGGAGGTTGTTTGATGAGAAGGGGAGCCCAAGCTCTAGAGTTAACCATCTGCTTGCTCTCTTTGCCTCACCAGCTAGCCCTGTGACCTGGGATAATCCACTCCCCCTCTGTCAGCCTCCAGGCCACACTTATGAAAGGATATTAAAGTCCCTCCCTCACAAGCTCCTTGCAGGGATAATGGCTGAGGCTCCTGGGAGGCCCTCCCTAAATGATTATCCCTGTGGATCTGGTAGGAAGCCAAAAGTTAGCAGAAGAGTTCAGGCTAACTCTTCTCCTTTATGTTCTCTAAAAGACTAAATCAATAAATGCTCATTATAAAGTAAATCCACCAGGCTTTGACCTCCCAAGCTTTAAGAAGCCAGCAGCCACCACCCACGCTGTTAGGGGAAGCAATCTCAGTGTACTCGAAATTAAACCACACACATTAATGATTCACCCATTCTACTTAGACCTGACCGAGACCAGCAAGACAGGACCAAGAGAAGCTGGTAGCAACAGGGTCTGACCAAATGAAAAGTGCAAGAGGGAAACCCAGATAGCAGCTGAACGGCCTCTAATACCTGCAAGATGGTCTGCTTCTGAAGGTGACATTGTCCAGGTGGGTCCTGACAAGGGAATCAGCAGAACCACACAGAGAGCTGCCAGGCAAGGGTTCGGAAGAACAAGTTCCACACCTGTAACAATAAACCCTCCTGGCCGAGCACAGGCACACTTGATGGGAGCTGAAATGAGGAACTGGCCTCTCCCCTCCTTAGAGACCTTTCTAGTTATTTGTTTATGAAAAAGCCTAAGGGGAAGCGAGTTCAGAATCTAAGACCGCCTAAGAAAAAGTCAGGTGATTTGTTGCTACTGAACAGTGACTGATCCAATACAGAAATGAGGCAGATGTGGCTTTTTACTTCCCCTTCAGGTGCTCAGTGATTATCACTGATAGTTCAGTGAGACAGTTCTAGGTTTCTTATCTGTTTATTTTCTCCGAAGTTCTGAGAAGTCATTCCTTTCAGCCTTACTTTGCTTACATCCTAAAACATTTCATTTGGATCTATTTACTTAGTGGAATGTTTTGATAAGCATTAAATAATAGAGGAAATGATCATTGCACTTGGGAACACATTTGTGAGCATTAATTTTCAAGTAGTTAAAAGGCAGATGGAAAGGGATTTGTATCTACCAGCATTCTCATTAGAGCAGTACCCCAGAGAACCTCTATTTGGTGTCTAGGTGGAGATATGGCATACATTCCCAAGAATGTATGCAGTCTTAAAAGATATTTCTGCAGACTCTTTACAAAAACAAATTCAAACGAATTATAATTCAGTCTGATTTACTGAAGTTGTCATTGTTTAGAATCATTATAGATACTTACTGTGAAGGTTTTTTTAGGTCAGTGGTTCTCAAAGTGGGGTCCCTGGGTCAAAAGCATCAGCACCACTTGCAAACTTGTTTGAAAGGTGAATTCTTGCCCCTTCCCACCTCCTGCATCAGAATCTCTGGGGGTGGGGCCCACAGTCTACGTTTTAACAAGCCCTCCCTGATTCTTACACGTGTTAAAAATTTGAGAGCTGCTGCCTTAGGGGGGAAAAAAGTCTAATTTGTAGATGTTGGCTTTGTGATAACCCTTGCATTTGTCTTTAATCCTCTCATGTTGGTCTTATTAGAACATCATTTACTTAGAACTTTGAAAAATGACTCGACCTTCTCCCTTTACCGCCATTGTCACTCACTGCCAAACCCAAAACGCAGTATCAGGGCATTTCTCTATTTTGCCAGCATGGAGCCAGCAT